TGGTGGCCCCCATCTGGTGAGCCTCGAGAAACACACGCCCACAGGCCAAAGGCAATCGCGGCCACAAGAAACCACTACATAGAGGTGCAGCTGCCCAGGGCTGATGTACAAGTCCAGGTACCCGGAACCCTGCCCAAAACATCCCAAAGTAACGTTGTGGGAGACCAAAGGGCCGTGCCTGCTGCCCTCATTTTCCACAGCAGGAAACCAAGGCCTAGGAAGCTCAAAGTCAGGATGCTTATTCCACTGGGGGTCAAAAGGAAAGAAAAAGCTGAATAATTCCCTGTTTTGCTGGATTTAAGGTCTTTCAGACAGGAGAATGTTTTAATTAATGCATTTTGTTTAATCAAAACCTACAGAAAGTCCTATTGAATAAAAGAATGGGTGGATTGTATTTTGCTAATTTTCATCACTGTAGCAAGGACATATGAGAGTAGTAGGGCTCTACCTTGTCTTCCTCCTTCTTCCATAATGAGGAATGTCCTCTCCCTTTTTGCTAAGTGTGAGCAGCCTTCTCTCTTTACCCTGTTCTTATGAGACCAGGATGAGGTTTTTATGACAACAATCCAGAAATGTTTACCTTGCTATCATCTAACCTAGGCTTTTGGCTACTCTGTCCAGTTGGAAACAAGGAGCATACATAGCTGGAACCCATTCTACAGATTGGTAAGCTGAGACTCAGAGAATGCCTGGAGCCAACCAAATGAACCTCACAGAGCAACTAATCAAAGAGTGGAACTTCTCAGCTTTCAGCATGCTCAGAGGCTCGGGCAGAGTCCCAGCTGATGGTAAGTGCGCTCTGCCCCAGGAAGCCCCGACACAGATGTGAGGCTGTGCCCATGCCGGGCAGTTCCCGGTGGCCAGCTGGGAGACCCAGGCCCAGAGCTGCTAGACAACAAATGCAGGCAAGCACCAGCTGTTTAAGGAATCTCCTTCTGTAATTTTCTAGGTTACAGGGGATGTGGCCGAGGGTGCTAAGAAGGAAAGAGAGCAGGAAGGCGGACAGGACTGCAGCGACATGGGAGAATCTCAAGCCATCCGGATTCTCTGATTAACCTCAGGCTGAGTAATGCTGCCCAGCACCGGCGACTGAGGAAGCGTCTTTATGAGGCAGCGACACCTGCCTCCTGCTCAGCGCCTGCTGTCGCCACTGGGCCAATGCTGAATGCTGACAGAGGCGGCCTGACCTTATTAGCATGTCAATCATTTCTAAGGGATTGGGGGCCACATGATAGCCTTCTTCAGGGAGGGGGCATGAATCTGTGATTGGCTGAAGGGTGATGAATGAGGTAACTCTCAGTCCTCATTCCTGTCTCTTTCTTGGTCTGTTTGGGACTCGGTTCTCCCACTTGATCCCTCATGCATACCAGTCCTAGCAGGTTCATCAGCATGCTGATGGGGGGTGGGGGGGAGGGAATTTGCCAGAACTTACCCCAAAGCCAAACATCCCAGCTCCAAACCCTGCGATTTCAGGACTTTGCTTAAGGAATAAAGGTGCAAGAAGCTGTGTGCTGGGAAGCAGGACCCCTAAGCCTCAGGGAATTTTCTGTCCAAGCCCAGGGTTTTCTGGCCCTGGACAGGCAAGGTGAGGGAGACGAGGCTGCGGCCAAGAGTCCAGGCTTGCGGATCTGTGCACAAGGACGAGCTCGTCCAGGCTGGGCAATGAGGCCTCCTCACAGCCACCTTCCCTGCTCAGAGTCATAGGACAGAAGATTCAAACAGGGTGGGCCATGGAGGAGGGGGCAAATTTGAGGAAAGAAGCCCTCCAGGTTGGCAATCCTGCCGTCAGCCATCAGCGAGCTGGACCCCTGGCAGGCCTCGGGCTGCCGGCTGCTTCCAGAACTGAGCCTCCTCACCCCACCCGCCTGCCCCCACGGCCACCATTCTCAGAGCTAGAGGAGAAAAAAGACAGGCAGGAGACCGCTTTGACCCCAGTGCTGCAGGACCTCGACACTGGCTTTTAAACGACAGACAGTGGGGCCTGGACGCCATGAGAAGGGCCTGAGCCTGGTTAACAAGGCCTCTGGCGAGATGGGGACAGGGACTGCACACTTCAACCTGCCTCCTCCCCCTAGGTGGTTCTCATGCAAATGTCCAGGTGTCACTTCCATATTCCCACGCTGTTCATCTTCCCACAGAGCCTCCAGACCCAAGGGCAGACCCTGTCTCTCCTCCTACCTGGGACAGCACACTCACTCCCACCACGTGCCGTGTCTCCGGCTGTGTGTGACAGTCAGCCTGCACCCTCCACCTGCCTGCCTTAGGTGTGGGCTCCTCGCAGTCTCCACTGGTGACCATCTTTCCCAGCCCAGAGATTCTGCTTAGAAAAGCAATTTATGGCCATCAGTCTCCCCCTGGAAGGCACCAGACGACAACAGCATTAACCTTAAAATTATTCTGGGATGGAAACGTGTTTTACCAAGAAAAATAGAAGCTGCAGAATAAAACGGCGTGGAGGCCTAACCAGGTCAGGGTTGCATTATTGCATTAGCCTTCCGTCTTTAGACGCAGGGAAACTAAATGGCTAACAAGATGGTATTAATCCCGATGGGAGAAAAAGCATCATTTGAAAAAAAAGAAGAAGAAGAAGCTTAAAGCTATAACAGAGGAGGTAAAAGAGATGGGAAAGAAGTCACAAGCAAGCCACTGCAGCTCATCAGAAGTTTTGGACCCAGCCAGGTTCCATTTCCCACAGGCCCCCTGCAGATGTGATGTTTTCTTTCACTCTACTTACACCTCCCAATGCCAACTTTTCCTCCCCCTGTTCTGGATCTCTCCTGCCAGGCTCCTGGCACAATTAGCACAAAGAGCAGGTGATAGGTTCTGTGCAAAGACAGGACCTGGCTGTGCCTGGCCCTCCCCAGAGGACGCGGGAGGGAGCTCAGCATCGTCAGCCACGGGCAGCTCAGGAAGCGCAGACTCAGGAAGCCGGGTTCATTCCCCTTCCACGCAGCCAGCCTGCGTTAGGCATGGGTGCTTCTCCTGCAACAAGCTCTGCCTGCTCCCCACCGAGGCAGTGGAGCTGTGCTTTAGGGTGCCACGGGACCCCTAGAGGGAGATATCACCCAGTTCCTGACTTCCTTCAGGGTGCACTGCAATGCAGCGTCTGCCGACGGGGCTCACTCCCTCCCCTTTCTCAAGTGTAATGCTCTGATTTCTGCGTGAGGGGCGCATCCACACAGCCAGGATTCCCGGGGGCGGGGGTCCCCATGCCTGCGCAGGCATCGTGGGAGGAGGGGAAGCTGCCGCCAGGTCCAGCAGGGACTTGCATGGGCAGGAAAGTTTGTCTCCTGGCGCGGTGGGCCCAGGCACCCACCCACCTGGCTCCTCTCTCAGGCCGGGCAGTACTGAGCGCTCTGCCTGCACTGCTTCCCGCCCAGACAGCCGCGCAGGCTGAACCCCCTACGAGGCTGCTGGAATTTGGAAGAACAACAACAACTACAATCCCCATTCTGAACTTCTCTGCCTAAGACAAACATCCGGGAAGGTGGTTATGTAGAGCCCAGCTCTGCTTGAAAAAGTGCAATCTTCAAAAGGCATTACAAAACATTAGTGGCTGGGTTTCTTTTTTTAGCCAATCCTCCCTGCTTTCTTCCCAGTAAACTTCCATTTTTCTGACTTCACTTTGGCAGTTTAGGAGCACTTAGGGAATTACGTTCTTAAAACCAAATCCCCCCTCCAAAAAAAAAAACCCTACCAAGTGATTCTGAATATAAAAATGTTAAATTGTGTGTCTTACCTATAAAAAGACAGGTAAGGTTTAGCATTCGCTTCTTTGTATACATGTATGGGAATTTAGATTTAAGCTAATGCTTAACCCAATACATGCATCTCAATTGGGAAAAAAAAAAGGAAATCCTAACTGGGCTGGGGTTTAGCATGGAAACCCCACAGACCCTCTGATGCTGCCTGAAACCTTGGCAAGCATAACCTAGCCCCTTCAGCATTGTTTGAAAGATGCCTGTGGGCATTCAGTGTCTGCTTGCAAAGGACTCCTGTGCAATTATCAAATCTATTAAGACACCTTGGATTTTGCAACGCTGCCACTAAGCTTATTTTAGTAGGACTGCAGCATCTTACCTGTGTCACTGCAGATTTGTTTTCCCCAAACAAGTAACTGCTGTGAGAGGTAGGATCACATTTAAACCACTGGGCAAGGTAGGGGAGGGGCTGAGGAGATTCAGGTAAATCCAAATTCACGGTCTAGATTCCCAACCTTCTCTCAGTAGAGACATTCCAAATTATTCAAGGAAAATTCACATTTCTGGTGTGAGGAGTAGGAGGAACTGAGAGGACTCTGAATTTCAAGGGCATAATCTGCCCATTTGGTGGAAGGATAAAGAAAGGATGGGAGGCCATAGAAGGGCTGTGGGAGACAAGAAAGGCATGGGCAGATTCAGGAGCAGGGAAGGAATGGGCCAGGAAGGGGAGGAAGGCGCTCCAGGGAGAGTGAGATGGGGAGAGTGGCAGGAGAGATCGCAAACAGGGAGGAGGAATGGAGGGAGGGGAGAGAGGGAGAGGGAGTGGAGGAAGAGAGAGAAGAGAGACAGGGAGAGAGATAGGAAATGCAGAGATCTAGACCTATTGAGAGACAGAGACCATGACTGAGAGAGGAATAAGGATTCAGGTCCCAACATAGGCGGCAAGAAGGATTCGTGGCTAGGAGTTGAAACCTCTCTTCTCCTACCCCAGGGACCACAGCTGGTTAATGCCAGTTGGTACCTTTCACAGAAACAGCAGTGCCTCACAGCACGGTGCAGATCTTGAACCCAGCTCACCAGATCTCCTGGAATAGAGCAAATCCCCGGCTAGAAGCATCTGTGCGTGTGAGCGAGTGAGTGAGCGAGCGAGTGTGTGTGCGTGCACACAGCAAGCCCACCTCTCACTCACAGGCATCTCACGCTCCCCTCCTCACCCCTTCCTCCTTGCCTCTCCTCTTCCCCTGCCTCTCCTGCTCAGGCAGCGCACAATCGCCCCAGGAAAACACCCTTCTCTGGTACCTGGGATGAAGAGCAGGGCAGTTGTCGCGGAGAAGACGACCCAGTAGGCGGGATGGTACATCTCGACGCTGCGGTGCTCTGGCTGCCGGGTTGCTGCTGCTTCTGCTGCTGCTGCCGCGGCTGCCTTCCTCTGTGCTGAATTCTGAGCAGGTTTAAATCCAATGTTTGCAAAGGGAGGGAGAGAGCAGGAGAGAGAGCGCGCGCGAGCGAGATGGGAGCAGGCAGGCAGCGTCTCTGATTTTTTTTCTTGCACATACACACAACTGGTAAGAATCATCAGCACCAATCTGCACAGGGCTCAGAGCAGACCTCCTCCAAGGCACGCATTGGCTCCACTCTCCTGAGCGACACAAGGAGACTTTCCTGTTTGGAAAGATTGACTCCGAGGGGAGTTGAAGCCTGCCCCTTACTCACCCCCTCGCTGCAGCCCAGCCCTGGCAATGGTATCTGTGTGCGTCTGCCAGGGTGGGGCTCCCATGGGCACACACCCGCTCCTTGGTGGGCAGCGGGGAGGGCTTGGCGCTGCTGCTTTAGACCCTACCCCAGCGGGGCTCCAGGCACACGAGGAGAGGAAGGCTGCTTCTTGGCAGAAATATGACCAAAGCCCATGCCAATTCCCTGTCATCCTTCCTTCTTCCTGGTCCCCAGGCAGGGATGGAGCAGAAACTGCAGCCCACAGGAAGAGCTCAGACATATAAACCTGCACCCCACTCCCCCATTCGGCCATTAGGAGCACTGGGAAGCAATTTGGTTTTCCCAGTGGGAAGATGGGCATGTTAAGGTTTTTTCACCAAAGATTCTAGGAGAATTGGCCAGTTCCCCACAATTAGAGCATTCTGAAACTCTACCAAGACAAGATGCTATAGAAGCCCAAACAACTGCTATGATGGTAGCACAGACAGGAATATATTCAGATTAGATCTCAAGGAGGCAGCGACTCGCTAAAGTCATTGGAAATCAAGGCCGCAGAAGGATACTTGTGGCTTTCTGCCTTCCTTTTTTTTTTTCCTATCTTTTTTTGCTTCTCCTTTTCACAGTCCAATGAGAACAGCAGTTCATACAGACAGTATTTCTGGGTGTGGAAAAACCTCAGAATTTTCCCCTCCTCTAAAAAGGCTTGCCCTAAATAAAGTGCTTAGGACCGGCACGCCGAGTTGCAGCTGAGTGACGCCGCCAGTGAACTAGACTCTGAACTTGGAGGATCTGGCAGAAGAACAGCGCTGGGTATTACAGAAGGGCTAAGCTGTCTCTGTGTCCCAGGGTGCTCTTTGAAGACCCCCCACAGTGCTGGGCTCCCTTCCCGCCTCAGGTGAGTGCACACCTGGAGGTCTGTGAGTGGCTTTCTATGCAGGAGTGGTCTTCCCTTCTCTGTCACAGCAAATTCCAGTGTTTTCCCAAGTACCTGCTATGGGACAGGTGTTCACATGATTATTTCAGTCAATCCTCCCCAGAGTCCTGCCCGCAGGCAGCATTGCCCCTCGGCTTCCATAGGCTGAAACTGAAGTCGAGAAGGATTCGGCAACTTGTGAAAGGCTGCACAGCTACAGACAGTCAGGATTCAAACTCAGGTCTGTCCTCCTGCAAAATCCACACAATCGCTATTAAGCTGCCAATTGCCAACAAGTTATTTGGGGATAACTGAACTCCTGCTTTTTTATATAACCAGGTTTGGTTGCTTTTAAAGAAGTAAAGCAATTGATTACTTCTCTAATTGTAAACCGGTCAGAAAACTTCAGCGTCAAATAGAAAACACATGATGATGGTATCGTCCTCTGGCGTTTAGGGAATACCTATTTAATATAAAGTCATGTTTCTCAAGGCTGTAAATATGAAGAATATAATTTGTTCTTGTCTACAAAGGACATACGATATATTTGAAGAGATCAGCCAAAAATTAGAATTTGTGAATTTGCAAATGTACGTAAAATAGGGCACCCACACGCTAAGTATTAAAGTCAAATTCTGTACAGCCAATCCTTGCAAACGTGTCATTCACAAGCAAATTGATCCGTGAATTCTTTGAACCTTGCTGGAATCCTACAGAAGTTCAGAGGAATTATCACCATGGCCGAGCACACCTGGCTTGAAGTGGGTGGGAGGGGTCGGATGGGTCCTAGAAGTGCAGTGCTGTCTCGAGGTGGGGACAGGGTAGACACGGGCAGACCCTACAGGGAAAAGCTGGGAGATAGAGAGAGAAGGACCTAGGATCCTACACCAGTGATTCAGAAATTCCCTAATGCTGCTGGGAAAAGTTAATTTCTTTTTGAGCAAGGGAGTGTTATAAATGAGGGGGAGTTAATTTATGGAAATTAATTTGGGTGAAGTGTACAGGATGGATTGAGGTAAGCACACTTGTTAGGAGGTATGGCCCGGGTTTGATAGACTCAGAACGGGGAGGCAGCAGTGGGAGAGGAAAAGAAGGAGGCTGTGTGTGAAACGTCGGAGCGTCAGCAGGACTTGGTGACTGATGGCTTCATGTGAATCACGGACACCGTGCATTCACTGCCGGCCTAAGGTCTCAAAAATATCATCACCCTTAATCCCCAGCCTTGTCCTCCAGGAAGGTGTACTTATGCCTTTTTGAGAGATGAAGAAACCGAGATTCAGAGAGGTTAGGTAATTTAGGTTAGGTCACACATCTAGTTAGTGACACAGCCAAAATTTAAACCCGGGTTTTTCTGTTTCCAAAGTGAAAGCCTCCCTAAAAAGAAATTATAATGTTGAGGACTGTCATTTTATTGAATATACATGTAAACTAAAAATAAAATCCTAAGCCACCCTGCTAACTAAACCGATCCCCTCTTGGATTAGGGGACCACAGGAAAACATTAAAAATGAGTTCCCAGCTGTGGAGGGAAGGGAGATCAGCGTGCCTAGTTATACCTCATCCCTTTTGGAGTTTAGACACAATTGACCAGCATTAATGTTAACATAGAGATCATAAAACTGACTCTTTGTGACAATAGGATACTAAATTATCAACAGGACCTAAGACAGTGCAGGGCAAAAGTTAGATCACACCTGCAAGCCATCAATTTGCTTAACAGGCCACTTGAGTCGGTATGTAGTGGCTTGTCTCTAATTAACAGACTTCCTTAACTTAAAACATTCCAAGCCTTTAGACAAAACTTTATTTTGTTAACTAATTACAAATCAAAAAATCTCTGAAGCCCCTTATAACCTTTAACGCTCCTGCCCTGCTTTGAGATATCATGCCTTTTCAGGTCAAACCAATGCATACCTTACATGGTATCGATCTATGACTTCACGTGGAATTTTTGTCTCCTTAAAATGTATAAAGCCAAACTGTGACCCAACCTTTATTGAGCCAGTCTCAGTCCTAGGAATTGCATGGAGATTTTCTCCTAATTCTCACTGGACCCTTACTGCCAGCCCATTTCACAGATGCAGAAATATACCAGGTTGTAGAAAGTCCCAAACCCCTCCTCCAAGAGTAATAGGTATCAGAGAAATCTAAGTCTTTCTTACTTCAAAGTTTATGTTCTTTCACTTTTCCCTGTCAGCTATATTTTTGTTTTAAAAACACCCATTTATCCTGCCAACCTTTTTCGTAATAGACACACACAAACACACACACACACACACACACACACCCTGAACCTCTTAATTAAATTCACATTTAACAAACTTCAATGTATATCAGGAAATAATTTATTTTTAAAAATTTGTATGCCTAATAAAATCTTTCTTAAGGAAACACATAAATATGTATTTTCGCTGATAATTCTTCTCGGTCTATTATATGATTAAAACATATGTCTCTTTTATTTATAAAAAAGTGGAAGAAGAAATGTATAATGCATATTTAATCAATAGATGGCACCAACTCTGAAAAGAGATATTACGGTCTACTGGGTCTATTTAAACATCTTAAAAAAATACAAATACAAATAAAAATGCTTCAATGCATATTTACTAGAGGGACTATTCTCTTCTCTGGGGTAAATAATATGCAATTTTATACCTTCTGTGAATCTTTTTTTTTCTTCCTCCAAAGCAAACAAAATCATCAAAACTGTGTTTAAATAGCTATAAGGTAGGGGAACAAACCAACCGAGACTGGGCAATTGTGCGAGGAACTGATTGTCGCACTTGTCCTTCTGCCTGGACTCCTTTCCTCCCATGGCTTCTTAGAGGCGGATGGGAAATGGGAATGCCAGGACAGGGCCGGTCCCCTGCCCTCAGAGGTGACCTGTCATCAGAGAAGCTGTGTGACCTTGGGCGGGCGAGGGTACGGGGACTCCCCTGATCCATATTTTGTTTCTTTTTAATACAGACGAGTGCATGAATGAAGTGATTCCCTTTTAGTACTTCACATATTCCTTCATGAAATAAGTATTTATTATAAATCTGCTCTCGGCCAGGTACCTACCTATTGTGTGTGACATAGGAGAGGTGGGATGTGAAGCAAGAGAAGACTGTCCTCATCCATCCAAATCCACAGAGTAGTGGAGGAGACAGACATTACCTCGTTAATCACATGATCAGTGACGTTTGTGGCAAGTGCGTGTAGACTGCCCTGAGGAGGAGACTTCTACGCTGGGATCCCAGCAAGAGCCATCCCCGAGGAGAGAAAGCTGAAGTTGTTCCTGGCGGGAAAAACATCAAGTGCAAAAGCTCGGAGCAGGGACTGGACCTGTGTAGTTCACATTCACCCAACCTTTTACTGAAATTAGCTCTACGGTAAATAATGTTAAGATGATGGATTAGTGCACTTGGAGCCCAGCGATGGGACAGAAAGGATGAAATTTTAGATATTGAAACACTGGGATATTTTACCTGCAAAAAATAAAAAAGGGAAGATGATAAAACCTTGCAGATTAAAATCTGACTCTGCCACTTATCTCTCAATATTCCAAAATGAACTGGAGCCTCCCAGGCTGTCAGTGATTCCCTAAGAGCAAGTTAAAGACTCTGGGAGGCACATTAACTCCGTTAAATCACATAGGTGCCATTGAGTTCAAAGGAGCAATAATTTATTAAATGACTGGCTTATGACTAGAGGAATACGCACTTCTTCTGAAGTCAGAGACTCACAATGAGTCACTCCTACCTCTGGACTCAAGTCTTAATCTATTTCTGATACTTCCCCAAACTTTTAATATGTTCACAAAATAGCTCAGTCATGCGCAAGAACTGGAACTGGCTCTATGAACAAATGTCAATGACATCTATATGATTTTTTTTTATAGTTCTCTCCCTTAGCTAACTACTGGGCCTTTGAGTTTGTTCACAGAAAGGGTGGATTTTCTGCAAAACAAAGGAGCTGAGATTCTGAAGGCCCCTGGGCAGACTTCCTAAAGCCAAGACGCCCCATCCCCCACACCCTGCCCCAGTGCACACAGCCCCTGCTAGTCACCACGACCTGCCCCAACGCACGCGGCCCCTCCTTTAAAAGTCCAAGAGAGACCACTTGAGGCAGCTTCTCCCAACTCTGTCTCATTAAAACATTTTTCTTCCTGGCAATCCTCATTGTCTCAATATTTGGATTTTTGTACAATGAGCAGCTGGACC